TGAATTCTGAGTCATCGGATAATTGTTTTATTAAGTTTAGCGTACATATTGCATAGAGTTTTTGTAGCTCCAAAGCGAAAAGGATTTGAATCATTTTTGCTTTAAAGTTGCGAAAAGTTTGTTTGATTGAAATTCATAATAAATTAAATAATAATGAATAAGAACAATGTGAGAATGAGTAAAACACATCAAGAGAAAATTCAGCAAGTGAGTAAAATTTTTAAGGAAGAGAAATTTGAGCAAAAATATATTTTTGGTTGAGAAGATTTTCAAAATTTAAATTCGGAACAAGATCTGATCAAGTTTAATTGATTAGCTAGGAATGATTTATTGAGCTATAGATGCATCATCTTTTTATTATCAGATAATGAGTAGACATCAAAAAGCTAATCGAAACTTAAACTCTTCTAGAATCTTAGATGATCTAATCCCAAACCTTCAATTCTTCCACTAAATTACAGCTTCTTTAAAAATTACAATTTAATATCTTTTGATACCATAATGATGAATCGTTATCATCTTGATTACATATTGAATCAAGAAATATTCATCAATTTGCGCTAATCCTCAAGCACATTTAAAATTTTCTGACAAGAAGATGTGATATAATAATCATAGATTATCTTTTTTAAAAAAATGTCTATGCTATTTAAACCGACATTACAAGAAAATTATGATTTTTCCTATCATCAAGCAAAAATTATCTCGCGTAAGATTGAAAATTCTATGAAACATTTTTACTATATTGAACTTGATAATCTATTTTGAGCTCCAAAAAAAAAAATAAAGAATTATGTTTGAAAATCTTCTCATGAACAAAATATATATATATATCTTAATGAGCGATGAAAATGATGATAATGAGCATAGATGTGAGAGATGATGTGATTCACTTGGCTGGTGACGATGATGAAGAAAAAATATAATTTTTTTTTTGTAAAAATAGAAAAAAAGCAAAAAAAATCTCATCATAAAAAGAAAACAATTCTACATCAAAATATACATAGGAAAAGGATAGAAAGCTACACTACAGGATATACACTACGGATGAATGAGGGATGTTGATCAAATCATAATTAATTTTTTTCGTATCAATCAATCCTCATCTTGGATAGATAAAAAAAAATTTGTTACTAATAATTTTTAATAAGCTTGTATATAAAGATAGAGTTAACCACACACCGTATTTTATGTATCAAAAAAAGACAACGTTTATGAATTAAAGAAGAAGAAATTATGTAAATTTGTTCCAATTAAGAAAGTAGAAGAACTAAAACCTTTTCTCAAAATTAACGTAGTTTTTATTCTAGCGATAATATAAAAATGTAAAGAAAAATATTTCGAATGAAAGAATTCAGCTTGATTTGATTTTCGAGATATCCAAACAAATGTGGAGCGGCATAAAGGTGTGACTTGCGAATTCTAGGTGTAAGCCCGTAACAATTAAGGTCTTTTGAATATTTTTGCATTCATTCATCGCTTCGCTTTTTATTAAATGAGTGCTGAGAGATTATTTCAAGTTCAATTAATGAAACTTTGTTGATGTTTGAAATCTGGCATAGTTTATTTTGCGATTTTTAAATTAAATAAACTTTGTAATGTAGATTTTCATCAGATGATTAGATTATCATTGTTGCAAATTTATTTTTATAAATGATACTCTAGTTTAATAGATATATGAGGCTTTATTGAGTCAGAGATTGACAAAACTCTATTTGACATATATTGTTCCTAGACTTGGAGCTCAACAAAGCAAGAAAATATCTTATTAAGGTTGAAATCTTAAAACCAACACTCAAAAGCTTCATTTAAATCAACTTTTAGCAGAAATCGAAAAAGAAATTAAAATACTTAAATAGTTCAATTAGTTAAAAACAAATCTTAATTGTTACTAAGGTCAACTTAGTGCCTAGGTTCGAATCCTAAAGATTAAATTCTGATATGTTTGTTTGACTTGTGATAAGGTTTTTGCCGCAGTTTTTGTTTTTTTATTATTAAACTTTAAATTGGCTTTAAAAAAGCTAGTTTAAGAAAGGAAGCAACAATTTGTGATTAAAGCAAGTTTTTTGTGCCTTATTTTTGCAAAAATAGCTCACACTTAATTGATTTAATTCATTGATATCTTCAAAACTTTCCATTGAAAACTTCGTTCATTCGAAATTAATTACATTATTATTTTTTGTTATTTGCCAATTAAATAAATTAAAACGATATAGAGCATTTAATCAAATTAGATAGATAAAAACAAAATAATTAATCAACAAAAATAGAAAAACTAATGATTTCCCCGCTGAGAATAGGTAATTTTGCAAAAAGAGTATGTTTAAATTTTGTTTCTGTATTGAAAAAATTTTGTGTCTTTTTTAAAAATTTTGTTAATTTTGCTTAAGCGTTTTGGTTTTTGTGTCAAATTTTGTTTTGTTTTACCTCTCATTAACCAATTTATCAGTGAATGGATTCCTTGGTTGTCTTTTCATAATATCAGATTCGGCTTCTTCATAAGCTAAGGAAATGGCTGGAACCTACAGATTGGTTTGTGAAAACAAATTTTTGGTAGTTGGTTTAAAATTTTGGAATAGCTTAATTTTTGTTGGGTATGTTTTTAGTGTAATTTATCTATGTTGTTCAAAATAAAAGGTCATAACTAAAGGATATAAACAAAATTCTTGTTCATTTGCAAATCATAAGGAAAAAAATCGTTTTTTCACATCGCAGATTTTTGTTTGGTTTCGAATTAATTTTTTTTGGATGTTATTTGAATGATAATTCTAGAGTTGGCAATCGACGTGATTTTGGTCTACAACAATTTTGTTTTTACTACACCAAAAAAAGAATTTCTAATAATGGATGTGCCAACTCTAGATAGATGCAGTTCTCCAAATCGTCTAAATCACGGTGCTGAATACTAAAGCAATGAATCTTTTACGTCAATTATGTATTTTTCGAATATTTTATTTTCTTTTGATGAGTTTTTTTTACGGATTTAAATGGTTTGTCATTTTTATCAACTTTTACGCATGAAATTTCCTTTCCACACTACTTATAATTTTTCATCTCGATGATTTTCTTCTTCTTTCAACAAATTTTTATCTAATGACAAATCATTATGATATTTTTTAAGGATAGAAAATTTTTAAAAATAATTCTACAGCCATCTAGAAACAAGATAAAAAAATCTACTAACATAGATAAAAAGAAAATAAATTGTAATAAAAACAACTTTTTTTTTGTGTGAAACATTTTTGTGATACATGTAATTAAAAAGGAAAAGTTTATAGATTTTTTTCTTCTGTGCTTAGAGGTTCCAAGTTTTGAATGTCTTTGCGAAGAGATTTTAATCTGATTCAATAGAAAAGAAATGTTCAAATTCTAAGAACTCTTGGAAAGAATCTATTGATAAGGACAGTACTACACTTGGTATTGGTGATTGACAAGCTGTAGCCAGCGATAGAGCCAATTCAAAGCGTTATCTTAAAGAGACCACCGATTACAATTGATCTGAATGCCCTTTGTCTGTGTTGGTGAAGAGTACGTTCAGAAATTCAAATTTTGAACTTTAACGAGAAAATAAGGTACTTTTTGATTTCTGAACACAAAAATAATGAATATCAACACTTCTTATGATTTATGAAGAATTCAGATTAGCTTCAAGTTTAGGATGACTAAGTCGAGTCAACTCATATGAAATTTCAGTTTCCTGAGTCTATTCGAGTACCAAAACAAGAAATCTGTAGCTTTAGCAATAAAACTGAAATTTAGATTACAAATTTTCATTATTATAGCTCCACTAGCCCCTGCTTTTCTTGAATAATTCATATAATTTAATAGTTAATTTCTTGATTAACAGAAGTAAACCACATGAAACGATTCTATGAATAGGAACTACGCAAATGGAGTTCTATTTTGAGAAAACTAAGAAAATTTCATAACTAATTCAGCAGATAATAATAGAATACAAAAACTACAAAATTATAGGGAATCATCCCTGCTTTTATGAGACATTTGGAACCTCTACAACATGTTGGTATATAATTATGTGAAAGAATGTTGAAGATGATAATATAGATGACATACTTTCATAGGAATGAAAATAAGAAATAAGTCAAATCAAAAGTTGGAAAGAAGAGAAAATAAATAAGATTGGGATATAAAAAAATTAGATTTAAAAAAAGTAGGAAGAAAAAATTTCATACGAATAATTGACAATGAATGAGTAAATAATAAAAATTCATAATAATAATAATAATGATGAAAAACATGTGACATTCTTCATCTAATCTTATTATTAATATTGTTTTCGTCGAGAATAAGTAAAATATAAATATGACAATAATTTCATTCATTCGCTCGTAGAATATGGATATAGTTGTTAGGCATCATCCAATTTATATTTTTTTAAATTTTTTTCTTTTTCAAGCAAATGATTCTCATACAAGATTGCATACTCAATGAAGATAAAATGGATTATGACAACAATGTTCGTTGCTTATCATCTATTTCGGTTAGAAATTGAATAATTTTTCCATTATATAATGAAGTTAGTTTCGCCTTGAATCGTAGAGCGAGAGGGATGATGGAACAAATATAAATAAAAAGTTCTTAACCGTGCAATATCTTAGCATAAATTATTATTATTATTTTTTTGGTTTGTTAAACACTTCAATTCCATATGTTTTTAACCATTGTGTGCAAAAAGTTATTATTTCTTCATCCACAAAGAAGACATTACAATTTAAAAATGTATTTTCAGGCAGAGGTGTTGCCGAGGTGTGCCTCACATCAAAAATTTGAATATATTTTTTTTTTTCCGCTAAAAACTTGAAAAATCAACCTTAGGCTCCTCCCCTGCCCGTAAATACGGTTTTAGTCCTCAATCGTTGTTATTATTATTTGGGGCTTGCATTGGAAAAGATCGGATAAATTAATTGTAAATTAAAATTAAAAAATCAAATGCAATTAAAAATTGTAAAAAAAATATATAAAATAAAATCATATAAAACCTTTGATTCACTAATTTATCGTTGAAAGGATCTCGAGGAGGTCTTTTCATAATGTCAGCTTCAGCATGTTCATAGGCTAATGAAATAGCTGGAACCTGTGATTTAAAATTTCGTCGTTGAAGGAATTGAAATTAAATTAAAATAAAATAATATTCAAAATAAAAGTAAAGTTTCGAGGTTAGAAAAATCATAAATTTTGAGGTTAACACAGGGGGAGAACGACTGTCTGTAAAGAGAAAATTGGTGTAAAACGATGTAAAATAATAAAATTTTACACCGTTTTACATCGTTTTACAGCATTTTACAACCATTTTACAACCATTTTATTTTACATCGGCTCTTTAAAAGCTAAAAATTGGCAATCTTAAAAGCTTTGAAAATTGTCAAAAATCAATTAAAATTCCCATAAATTAATAAAAGTTTATGAATATTGAAGAAAAATCTACATTATAAAAGCCCAATTCACTGAATCACTGACTCTAGAACGGAAGCTATGTGAAGCCATTTATGTACCCGTATGAAGCCAATGATTTGGGAGGTGTTGATAAGGTGGGGAGTGGTGAAGGGTTTGACAAGGTGGGTGACGGGGGGCATGGTAAGTTGCGGGGGATTAAAGTTTTAATGGTATTAAGGGGGTTAGAAACAGGCTAGGCCTTAGAAACATTATGGCTATTTGCGTCTTACAATTATTAACATAAAAATAATCAAATTTAAACCCTGATAACAGGCGAATCCAACTCGATTTAAACTCAAATCCAACCTTATCTGGACAGTTCCTCCAATTTCATTATTTTCCGTCAATTTTAATAACGATTTAAACCACGAAAACGAATTTTCAATATACAGTTGAAACCACCACGTGGTTAGAAGATGTTATGCTTTGAATTTTAGGACCATTTAAGAAACCTCCAAGCTTATATCATTTCATTTAATCTCATTTAGTCAAACTGCTAAAGTTCTCCTCTTGATTAAAAAAATTAATTTTTTGAATTTACGTATAAAAATTAAAAATGTTGAAAAAATATGAAAAAACAGTAATTTTTTATATTAAACATCATCAAAAGACCAAACAATATAAAAAGAAACCAAAAAAGAACAAGAAAAAAAATTAGTTTTGATGAGACTCGAACCCGTGACCTAAGAAATCATTTAAAATAACAATAATTTCCATGCTGGTGTAAAATTTGCACCGATTTTACATCATTTTACATCGTTTTGCATCGTTTTACAACATTTTACAACGTTTTACAATGTTTTACAATATTTTACATCTCCTGGTGTAAAATCGATGTAAAATGTTGTAAAATAAGCATTTTATTTTGCAGACAGTCGTTCTCCCCCTGGGTTAACATAACCTCAAAAAAAAATTAAAATTGTCGATCTTTTCTGCATTAGCATTTCTGAATCTATTTTTTGTGCTACGATTTGAGTAGAAAAACTAAATACACAATAAAATGATCTATTCTTACTTGATGGAGAAAAAAAGTTAAAATAAATAAAGTCCTAGCGAACTCTTCTTCTGTCACAATAATTATACGTTCTTACTTAGATAAAAAATTGAATAAATTAAAGTGAAATAAAAAAAAATTATGTGAAGAAGAATAAATTTTAGCAATATTATCTGAAGAGCAAGAGAGATAGATAGTTCTTCAAAAATTAAAATAAGCAATGTAATATAAATCTTATCCAATTCGTAAGATGAGCCGAGTTATGCAGAACAACTGGATGAGACACTCAATTGATGGTTTGTGGTCATTGTTGGAACTAATTTCAATAAATTTTGTTGGAAAATTACCCCTTAGAGAATTTAAACTAATTCATGACTATAGGATCCAATGACTATACATTGATAAAAAATATTGTTCAGTCATCACAAAGTCATTGAATGTTGTCTATGTAGATAATACACATCATGTGATGAACTATATCTAGGTCATATATCAACAACGTGGATATCATATGAAATTCCATGCAACCACTAATTAAAGACTGTTTATGGTAACCAAAAATTACATCAATAAAATCCGATTTAATTGACGTTCGTGCCTTGTCAAGCAGGCAATAAACTTGTTATGTATAGATAAATATAAAGTGAAATCAATTAATCGAGAGAATAAATCGGAAATTAATTGGAATTGAGTTTTGGTGGATAATTTGAGTTGAATTTTAACGGTTGAGAAAATTTTGAAATTTAGCGTTTTTTGTAATTTGCAAACTAGCGGTTTTGTAGAATTTAAAATTTTAAAACGGTTTTGTAGAATTTAAAATGTTAACGGTTTTGTAGAATTTGAAATTTTAACCGATTTTGAAAGTTCAAAAACTTAACGATTTTGTAAAATTTGAATGAATTTTAGGTTCAAAAATTTAACGGTTTTGTAGAATTTAAAAACTCAATTTCCGTTCAGTGAACAATTTTTTCCCACAACCCCAAACAAAACTCAAGAATCAAGCCTCAATACCGTTCACAAACCACAAATTATAGTCTCAGCAGCTGTGCGCCACTCGCTCTTATTTGAATCCAATTGAGTAAATTTTTTCATCATCCATCATTATTACATAATCATTTTTCGTCGCTTTTCTTTCAATTTTCCTGTCGATTTTTTTCTTGTTCCATTTTTATATTACATTCCATTCGAATGCCAAAGTACAAGAGGATAAATACAATATAATATATATTTAATAAAATAAATGTAGAATAAAAAGAGAGAGATGTAAAAACTTTTATAGTAGCAGAATTAAATATGTATTAAAAAAAAGGGGGGATTTCGATTTAGCCCATTCGTGACTGTTAGGCGCTCAAACTTTAGTTTTTACCTCTCATTTACTAATTTATCCGCGTATGGATTTCGTGGTCGTCTTTTCATAATATCTGATTCAGCTTTTTCGTATGCTAGAGAAATCGCTGGCACCTAAATTATCGATTTGGCATTTAGACAATAGAGTTACTATCATGTAATATAGGATTATATGTAAGTATTTTTATATATATGATAATAATCATTATCATCATCATCGTTGACCTTTTTTTTTCGAATTACTGTACATTCATTTATAATTTATTGTAAATTCATTTTTTTCTTTCGGTACAAAAGCCAATAAATTATTTTTTTCTTCAACTTATTTTACCGTTCAATTTTTTTAAAAAATTGAATTCCGTAAATTATGAAAATAAAACTTCGACGCTCATCATAATTAAAGATAAAAATTATATAAGGATTAACATTAGACGATTTTAAAGAAAACAAAGATAAACTTACCATGTCAGTTCCCAAATCGATACACAAGATTGTGACAGTTCCCAATGGTAATGGAATATCGCACAAGATGAAAGCCAAGAAAGGTGAAATTTCTGGAATATTTGATGTGAGTGTATAGGCAATGGATTTCTTCAAGTTATCGAAAATCAAACGTCCTTCTTCGACACCAGTAACGATTGAAGCGAAATTATCATCCAACAGAATCATGTCAGCAGCCTGTATAAAGTGTTACGTAAGATGTAGAAAGAAAAATTTTTTTTTAGTATGGTTGATGGAAAAATCGATAACAGAGAGAAGGAAAAAAAATGTTGTTGGAAGGTCAAAGTGGATGTGTGGAATAAAGTGCATTGTAATGCCTTGATTTGAGGAATTTTCATGGCTTTTTATTTATTTGAGAATTTAATTTTCAGGATTTTAAGTTATATGTTTACGTAAGCTTTTTACGTACGTATTATGGATTTGACGTAAGCTTTTTACGTACGTAATCTAAACTACATGAATCATTTTACGTACGTAATTTTCATAATACGCATGCGTATCATTAATAACCATTTCAATCATAAAATGGCAGCTTTCATTCACAAAAAAGCCATCAAAATTCACCATTTAATTAACATAAATATAAAATCAACAGAGAAAGCTACTTACTTGTTTAGATACATCAGAACCAGCGATACCCATAGCAACACCAATATCAGCCTTCTTCAAAGCAGGCGAATCATTAACACCATCTCCAGTTACAGCTACAATAGCTCCCATTCGTTGACAACCTTCAACAATAATCAATTTCTGTTGTGGTGATGTACGAGCAAATACAATTTCAGTGTGATAACGTAAGATTTCATCGAGTTGATCTGACGTGATGTCACGTAATTCAGCACCGTGTACGACAGCGGCCTTTGCTTCACGTGGATTAACTTCCGAGACGGGAATGTTTAAGCGTTGAGCAATATCTTCAATTGTTTCATTGCCTTCCGAAATAATACCGACAGATTTTGCGATAGCCTTTGCAGTAATTGGATGATCACCAGTAACCATAATAACTTTAATACCAGCTGAACGACATTTAGCGACGGCATCGGGTACGGCAGCACGTGGTGGATCAATCATAGACATGAGACCAACGAAACGTAAATTCTCTAATGGGAAATTAACATCATCGGAATTAAATTTAAATCCTTGTGGATATTTATCAGATGGAAGGAGAACATCACAGAATCCTAATACACGCTCGCCAAGACCACCAAGTTCCAAATATGCATTATTAAATGCTTCTTTCATCTCTTCATCCATCAATTTCTCTTTGCCATTAATAAAGATTGTACTGGATCGTTCAAGAATTCTCTCAGGTGCACCCTTCATGACAAGAAGATAACGTGGATCACTAGCATCTTCTGTCTCGTGAATTGACACTTGGAATTTATTTGTTGAATTAAATGGTATTTCACAGATTTTCTTGTTACGTTTACGGATTGTCAAGACATCGCCAAGTGCAAGTTCCATACATTTCAATAAAGCAGCTTCTGAGGCATCTCCAGATACTTCCTTCTTTAAAATTGGTACGCCTTCTTGACCTCCCTTGAATTCAGCACGATTACAGAGTGTTGCGATACGTGATAATGCTCTAAATCCAGGACTTGTGCGATCATATTGAACACCAGATTGATCCTCAGTGGTATCAGCCTCAATAATTTGATTATCGAACCACATATGTGCGACAGTCATACGATTTTGTGTTAATGTACCGGTCTTATCAGAGCAAATTGTTGATGTTGATCCTAATGTCTCGACAGCTTCCAAATTCTTAACTAAGCAATTCTTTGAGGCCATACGTTTTGCGGTAAGTGTTAAGCATACAGTTACGGTAGCCAATAAACCTTCTGGTACGTTAGCGACAATAATACCGATAAGGAAAATTACAGCATCGAGCCAGTGATAACCGAGAATGAAGGCAATAACGAAGAATGTGACACCCAAAAAGACAGCAACGCCAGTAATAAGGTGAATAAAGTGATGAATTTCCTTTGCAATTGGTGTTTCGCCTGTATCGAGACCCGATGCCAAACCAGCAATTCTTCCCATGACTGTGTGATCACCGCATGAAATAACGACTCCCTTTGCTGTACCTTCGACTGCGTTCGTTGAGAAAAATGCTAAATTTTTCGTTTCCAATGGATTCTCATGTGTATATTCGAAACTTCGTGATTGTGGCTCAGATTCGCCAGTCAATGATGAATTGTCAACCTTAAAACGATTACATTTTATTAGTTTAATTATTTTTGGGGCTTTTGCATTTTTCCGTTGGATTTTGACATTTATTTTTTGAATCTCAAATTTTTTTGAACCTTAATTTTGAACTTTAATTTTCAAATATTTTCTATCGTTATTTCTCAAATTTAAACTTTTTATAAAGATTGAAGTTCTTTTGTGGGAAAAATGCGCTAATGAGATTTTTGCTTCTTATTGGAATTGTTCTAGAACGTTATGGAAACGTCGAGAATTCCAATAAGAGTCAGTTGCAATTACCTTGAAATTTCTAGCTTCAATAATTCTAATATCGGCCGGTATTCGATCACCAAATTTAACTTCAACAACATCTCCCAATACCAAATCTTCAGCACGTAATGTCAACTTTTCACCTTCACGAATAACAGTAGCGAATTGTGGTACCATGTTCTTGAACGATTCCATAATTTTCGAACTTTTTGATTCCTGTCAAGCGATACAAAATAATGAATTAATTAGAGTATGAATGAAATAAGAATAAATAAGTCAGCTTACCTGGTAATATGAGAAAATACCAGTAACTATAACGACAGCAGAAAGTACAATACCTAAATATAAATTATCGTCAGCTGGTTCCTCGACCGTACTGGCTTGAATTGAATAGGCAATAAAACATAATATTGCACCGATCCATAGAAGAAGAGCGAAACCACCGAAGAGATTCTTACAAAATTTAACCCACTCCGGTGTTTGCTTTGGTGGTGTTAAAGCGTTTGGTCCATCTCGTTCCAAATTCTCTTTTGCTTTTGCATGACTCAGACCCTGCAAATTAGAGCATTAGATTATAGTCATTTGTCACTTACTGGACTTCTCATTTAACTTACATTTTCAGGATGTGTTTGAAACCTTTGATATAACTCCTCAGATGTAATTTTGTGAAAATCGATATCCAATTCCTGTTTTAAATCATCTAAATTATCCTTTTTCTTGGGCGGCATTTTGCGTCTTGACTGTAATTTATTTTTTGTAGATGAGAAAAATTCATTATTAGTAAATTGACGTAAAACAGACTTGATTTTCCCAATACCAAGTAATTTAATATACAATTAATGAGCAGAAATAATGGAAAGTTCCTCAGACTTGCCGACAAATAGAACTTAAAGTAGACAATCGATAATAAATGACTCTTATTTGACTGATATGAACGTTCCTGTATTTTTATCTTATCGCGACAGCATTAATCGTATTTGCTAATATATGATTTGAGTAAACTTTGCTGTATTTACTTAATTATACTACCTTTTTCTTATTCAATGCTGGAAAATTTCTGATTTGATCAAAAAATGCAAACATTCGAAAACGAATCCAATGAAAAGTTAATTATAGTATAAAATAGAGCAAGTTGAACTGATACTTGGCCTATTTCGGAAGTTTGGATGATGAATTTATAAGTTAAAGAAGAATTTAAGGTCACTGAATTTAAAAACTTGAAATTCACAATAATTTGGTATTGATGTGAGTTTAAAATGACTTTATGGACTAATACACTGATTTTAATTCAATGATAATCAATTAAAAGACGAATTTAGCTCAGAGAAACTAGGAAAATTAATGAAGAACTATTTTTTAAATGTTTACTTTATAAAAATAAACTTGTATGTGTGTTTACTAACACATTCAAAAGTTTGGAATATTTCAAATTCTCAACAACTGTTAAATTATTTTATAAACGGAGACACTTGACGATATGAAAATGATACAGTTCCGAGCTTACAATATTTAAGGTCACTTTTACAAGTTTGGGTAATTAAATGTTTACAAATTTATCACAATCTGCATTTTAAAATTAAATTGATGCAAAAATTCAAATGACAGAAAACCGTTAACAATTCAAATGTCAAAAAGTCGTTTTATAAATCAAAAAGTTTTCTTTCCTGCTTTGCGCATGACATGACATGACACAAATTCTACTCAAAGTTCTATCGATTGAATATAATTATGTCGACAAGTTGAAAGTCTGAGATATTTTTAAAAAGCATTAAAAATATAAAGCTAGAAAAAATATTAATCAATAAGTTGCTGTTGTATTTAATTATTCTATAATTGTACATAATTGAAATTATGGTTGTACATTAATACTTTAGAGATAATTGCAATAACCTTAGTGTACAATTTTCTAAAAACAACAGCAGCAGTTTTATGGATTTTATATTTAATGCAAAACAGAACCTTCAGAAATTATTTCTGCTCACGTTTTTATGGCCAATCGTATTAAACACATATCATCTTTAGCTTTTCAGACATCAAACCCATAAAAATTAAAATTAATGAAATATTTACATGCAAAAAGTTAATGAATTCGTACAAAACTTAAAATTATTTTATGATTTGTGATTTGTTAACAGATATCGAATGTCTAATGTGTTAAAATTAACATTTTTTGGCATTTCTTTTCGATGTAAAGCAATATGAGCTACTTATTTATATTTTTGAGCGAAAATTGCATTAGTTTTTATAATCAGTTTTTTTTTTGCAATTTAGCCGCTCCATACATCATTTACTCATACACATTCACGTCATTTTTCATTCACAATTGTTTGCAGCACAAGGGCAATAAAATAAATGTGTTTTTAGTGCAAATATTCCTTTAGATTGAGTGGATTTCTCGCTTTTAATTTTAAAAATTTAAATCTGCGATTTTGTTTTTCTTCTAATTTGATAATTCTAGCTTTCGATTCTCAATGATTAATATTTGATCTTAATCTTGCCAACTTTTTCAGTAAATATAACTTAGATTTTGCAATGAAAACATTGTAAATTTCATTAAAATTGAAAAACAAAATTTTAGGTTGACGAAAAATCGCCAAATTTAAATTTTTTATAATGTTTTGTTACAATTGCACTACATTCAATCAAATTGGAATAAAACACTCAAAAAATCTTACTTTTTAAAATCTTTAAAGGATTTTTCGATGATTTATTTATTTGACTTCTTTTTTCAAAGAAAAATGATATTAAAAAGAATATACACAGTCAATTGCAATGATTTTTTATTGTCATTGTCCGACAATGAATACATTTTGCATATATAAAATAGAATCATGTTCCTCGTGTTTATTTTTCAATGGACAAACGTATTTTTTTTTTTGTATTATTGCGCTGTGTAAATGATAAAATTGCCAATAAAAATCATTTCACGTCATTGAAGTTTTCGTTCAATTGTGTAACCAATTTTGTTAATTCTTTCGAATTCTCGGAGCTTGAATTTGATATGGAAAAAAATTCAAAGTCGTGAATGAATCAAAGTTTTATTAATCATTATTATGTCAAGATGTGAGATTTCATTTATTTATTTAAATTCAATTCATTGAGGGAAAATTCCAGGAGTTTAAGTTGTAGCTTGAAGGGTTCGTTCACTTGTGATGTCTAAGATTTAATAGAAAGAGATATGTCTGAACCTTAAGGAAGTTTAATAAATGGCAAAAGATTCTTATTTTCTAAAAGACCCAACTGATTAACAATCCTCAAAGCTAGCTTCCGCAAAAGCAAATTATAAACATGTCTAATGAAGTCTAATGAAAGTTCAAACAGCAGAAACGTCTGAATTGTTTAGTAAACATCAAGGATTTCGTCTAGAATTTCAATAACCTCTTGATGAATAAACAATTGAATGATTCAAATTATGATTAATGCGAGCAATATTAGAAAATTTAATCAACCTTGTAGCTTCAAGTTGAAAAGATTTTGGCAGATGCAATAGAATATTTAATTAAAAACTGACGGAAGACTTAGTTTGATCTTCTGCACAATTTGGCGCGAAAAAACACGTGCATAGAAATAATTTTAATTGGAATAAGCAGTTTAAAGAAGATTTCAAATGCCCAAGCGGCGTAGATCGTTTATAAAAGCGACTGTAACTAATCCAAAAAGTAATTAAGTTGATAATCGCTTAATATGAAGTGTCTTAATCAACTTAAAGTGAGTAACCTGATAAGTAGTTCTTTATTGCACCATGTGCTTTGCATTTACCTCATAAAGAGTAATTATCACAAGATTTTGTATTGACGCACATTGATTGAATAAGATAACCATCCGTAACAATTTTAATTTCCTGTAATTTTCCATCAATAAATTGTGATTTTTTTTCTCAAAAATTTTGCTCATATAAGTTAAATGCCAATTAAAAATTAGGGTTAGTTGTGCATGTATTGTATAAATTTTATCTTAGTGTAAGTATGTGTGATTAATGATTAATGATTTCTTACCCTATACTGCCCATCAGCAGTAAGATTGTCATCTTCCACTGAAGGGACTGTTGCGACTCTATAAGAGTCGGATCTGCCGGTCTATTTAGTCAAATTGTATTTTGTTTTTTTTTTCATTGTGTGGTTATGATAAGCAACACAATATGTATTGATGATGATAATGATGATATAATGATGATGATTATGTATGTGTTTTGTGTGTCATAAAAGTGTATTGTAGCATATTTTATTATTCGACACACACAACAAAGAAATCATAAGTTCACAGCAAATGCAATTTTGACATCCAATTTTAAATATTAATTTTTTTTAAAATGAAAGAAAATAAAAAATAGAAATTAGTAAAAATAAAAAAAAAAAATAACAACAAATCTTAATTAACGAATAATCTTTCTTTTTGGCCAAATCGATATAATATAAAGGGATTGCAAAGTTTTTAAGGAAATCATAAGAAGCATATTGTAGCTATTAAAAGTGGCTTTTTTCATCTCGAAAAATGGCTTTTGAGATTGGTGATTAACAACTTTACTCTATTATAAATGAAATCTTAAACATTTAAACCTTCCGAAGATGTTTGAGAATTCAAACTAAGACAGGATATGTAGTAAGAGTCGCAAATTTTAAGTTTGAGTAGCGAATTCGAATCAAAAAAGCCTGTCAAAATCGAATTTTCAGGAATTCTAATAAAGAACAATCTTCCAAATCAACGAGGTAATTTTCGAGAATTCCCATTCTTAGAACCAATTTTTAAATTTCATTGAATTCATGTCAATTCAACAATAACCTTTTTATCTTGATAAATTTCAGCATAAGCAACAATATTTTACACCAGAACGCGTTATTGTCTCGTTCGTGTTCATAAATCGTTCAAAATTGAAGGAGCAATAAAGAATTTTTCAAGAAGCAATTTACATGACAATCTAGATAATTAATAAAAGATATAAGAGACACCGACTAGAGACGCATTATTGATTATTTAGGAAGATTCAATTTTAGGTTGTGGAGATAATGAATTAAATTTTGCATAAGAATATTGATGATTTGTAGTGAAGTATGATCTAGTCTGGATTTAAGTTGCAAGAATTTAGTTGAATCTTATTAATTCTGGATGCTTAATTTTTTGATTATAACTAAGATTCTGGATTATGATAACATCAAGATATAGAGATCTCTGGAAGATTCCAATCAATTCTAAATAGATTAGGAGTGTTTCATGTTGAAAACGAGAATATCCAAAGATTATGCCAATCCAGAGACTATAATATCTTCAGATCTGCCCTGTACTTTGAACATTATCATCATCATCATCCTCCAAACAACAACTTTGAAATAACATTTTATGAAACTTCATTTCATAAACGATATCAACAAAAAGCCATAACTACTTAAAACTTTTGATGTTTTCTCTATCCGGTCGTTGATATTTAAGTGAAAGTACATGGAGGTTGATAACAAGAAAATTCAATTCCATAAACTACTTTCATTTCGGATATTCAGATCTAAAGATTCTCTCAAAAAAAAAAACTATCTTTATGATTGAAATTTTTGTAATGCAATTTTCATTTCGTAATCATCCACAAGTTGATATAACATTGGAAGGAGATAAGAAATATGAAGAAGGCAAGTAAACTTGAAGAGAATAAGAGAGAACGAGAGCGAAAAATCGATGAAAATGTTTCCTCTTTTATCAAGAAGAAAAATTTCATATTTGCTTCATTTTCGAGAAGAAGAAAAAAAAATGTAATTTCCATTTAAATTTGAAAATGAAGGAGACAGAAAGGAAGTTGCAAGAAATTATATTTTCAGTGATGCCATTTGGGATTAGTGGTGTATGCTTTAGATGGAAATAGCATACTGTCATGTGAATATTTAGAGTATTTTTGTATCATAAGCTTATTTGGATGTGATGAAGGGTTGAGTGACTTGGGAATCATTTTGTTTGTAGTTTGAATGGATTGCTGAAAAGCCTTGAACTTTTTGTTGTTGATGATTAATGTGGTTTGTTGATGGAATAATCAAGAATTGATGTAGGGACGCGTCTAAAAGTTATAACTAGCTATAAAGAACTTCAATCCTTTATATAATCAAATTTACTAATTAAACTCAAGAATCCTTGAACTTTTGAAGGTTAAACCTCAAAGACAGCCATTGAACAAATAAATGGATGTTAAATAAACCTTTTCGACTTTGAATCATCATCGGAAATTTAAATTTAAAATAAAATCTTTGGAAATTCATAATTTCAAGGAAGGTTTACATCCATTCAAAAGAACCATGTTGAAAAAAATTGGATATAAAGAATGAAATATTTTTTTTTCATCATGTCAATTCAAATGAGCACTTTAAAAAAATCAGATTCCCTAGAGCTTTTTTTTTCTCAGATGAAAATATACAAGAAAAAAACACAAATGGCAGGACGCTTCTTGAGAGACAATTCACATTTTTCCCATCTTATGTAATAGCAGAGAGAAATTTTCATTTTATATGTAAAGAAAAAAGCTTTCCAACATAACGATTTTGAGTACACAAACACATCCATAGTTGATCAACTACAAACACATTCAAATGAAATTGGAAAGCTGAAATTTTTTTATTTATGAATTTTCCAACAAGAACTTTCCCACATATACAAAGTCGATGTGCATGATATGTTTTTTAGTTTGAGTGTAGGTCAGAAATAACGATAATATGGATCAATGTCTGTAAAGCAGAACAGCAGAGAGAGAAAGAGAGAATAAAACTTATTTTTGCAGCGCGCATGCGTTCTTCAATGCACATTTTTTTATGTGTTATGTAAATCGAGAGGGTATGATATAAAATTTATTAAAACCATTTTTATTATTTTAGTCATGTTCGATTAAATATTAAATTAAGATTTCCGTTCAGTATTAAAACATTAAATTATTACTTATATAAGTTCTTGTTAGACGAATGGAATGGCTGTAGAATTTTTTTTTCAAAAAAAAAGGGGGAAGGAATGACTGAAAATATGGTACATTAATCAGCATATTTTTTTATGTGAAAAAAGCTTAGTTCAATATTGCACAACATTTTTAGAATTGTCAAGTTATATTGAAAAAAAAATCTTAAAAAGGGGAGGAAATAGTCGAAAAAAAATTGTATATGTCTCGGTAGTTATGTAAATGTTTTAAGGAATGGCAGTCGAAACATATTTACAAAATTTTCTTTATTTTTGATACTTCAGCAAAAGTTTTGTAATCAAAATTATTGCAAATGCTTCATTTATCTTGATTTAGGTTGTAAAAGTGAGGATGAGCCTTGAATGTGAAATGACCTTAGTAGTAAAATCAATACTAATAGAGTCAGCCATTAACAATGTAATTGAGCTGTGAGTTCTGTGAAATTTTCATCATTTTTTTCAATTTTTAATATGCTGACATGAAAAGCTAGTAAAACTTACAATAACAAAATTATCCAACCCAAAAAAAAGCAATTTGAAATCTTTTTCCTAACTTTATTGATTTGTATTGTAGCAATTCTATAACTAGAGATTTTCATCCGATATCCAATAAATTATGCAAAACTGTAAAAAGTCCTTTTTTTCGGAATCACCAAAGCTTTTCTGTCAATTCTTTCAAAATCTTTATTTGACATTCATGAAAAATTTAAAGTTTTACTTATTGTGTCTAAGAGTTGACATTTTTCAATTATTGATGGAGATTCTTACTGGATATAAATAGAATGAAGTTTGAAAGTTAAGAGAAATTGCAAGCAATCAATTTCTTACATAATATTCTACCTTTTTCTGGTAATATTATCTTAGAATTAAAGAAAATTGGGTAGACAATTTATGGACCATCGTAGAAGAACCTGAAGTGCTTAAATGTTTTTTCAGAAAATTATCATCTTTATTGATGAAGCTAAAATTAGAGTCGGATACCATAATATGATACTTTTTTGGACTAAAGTGTCATTAGAAATTAAATGAAATGAGTAAATTGTTCAGTAATATAATGACGTGGGGTATAAAGGATGTTTCGGTTCAGTTTGATAATGCGCCTGTCAGGTAAAATTTCAGGATGGAATTCTAAAGTCTTTGAAGTAATCAAAGATATAGAAACATTTCAATTTGATGCTAAGAACGCTTCACTACTCAAAATTTATCAAGAACAACTTCCAGACAATAAGATTCAATTCTTTCAGCAATCAAACCTTCAATAATCATTATTCAGGAACATATAAATGTAAAATGATTCTAAAGGAAGGTGAAGATATAAAAAAACAAAAATATTAGGACAAATACTAATGAGAAACACTAAGGCAGTGTCATCCAATATGCATGTGACTTTATTGAATTTCCAAACTTAATGGATATGTTGAATATTTTAGAATTCAATTCAAGGTACAGGAAACAATCCATGCTTTTAATGGAGACATTTGTGCCATTACAATAAAATCAAATTGTATGCCGCATGACTATTATGTCCCAGGAGTGAGCGCTCAGTACTATTTTACTACTTTTTAACAGAACATTAGCATTCACTCCTGGATTACGTCACATTCAATTTTATTGTGGACAACACTGCACTAAAACGTAAGCTGACAGACACGATATTTTTGTATGTATGAGTTGTTCAGCTTAAAACTAAAATTCTAAAAAACAAAATCAATGCGAACAACACAAAAAAAGGAAGACAAAAGCGAAACAGAAGAAGTAACAAAAAAAAAATTAAGAAATTCAATATTTCATGAAAATCACCCTTTCTCACGTCAAAGCTTCTTAAGTAAAACCAGTTTGTGTGATTTTCGGAAGGAAAGATCTATAATCTGACTTTTATAACTGCAAGAAATTGGGTAACAAAAAGAATAGATGTAGAAAAAAATCATCATTTCGTTATATTAAAATTATAAATCAATATAAGACAGGAACAAGGATTTTCAAAATATTAAATAATGTCCATGGAATGAGGAAATAGAATTAGGAAAATAATGTCCATGGAATGAGGAAATAGAATAAGGAAAATAGGAAGTAAAGGATAAATTGAATTTAAGGAATAAAATATAAAATGTTACGCAACAATATCGATCAATAAAAGTTGTTCGTTGTAATTTTTCTTTTT